AAGAAATTTCTGAAAGAGTCTCCTCCAACGTCGAATGGCTTAATTAAAATCATGTCTGCGAGGAAATTGCCGATAACCTTGGCGAAGATGCGGAACGATGATCTAGATAAGACGTCGTCTCGATGAAGAGGAAGATAGGAAGACAAAGGATGATAGGAAAATGGGCGAGAGATAAGCGGAATATCGGAGCGGCTGGTGAAACGAGGGCTTGCCAGGGCAAAAAGGCAACCGGAGGAAATCGGAAAGAGAAGGTGGCCGCACGTGAAAAGCTCCTGTTGCCCCGTGTCACGACGTCCGGGGAAGGCAGCCGCACCTGGCGTGGCAGCTGTTAGAAACCGTCCGTTACCTGGTTCCCTAGCACCTGTTTGGATTGCGTGCCGCGTGGACCTTCGAGAACTGCCCATAGCAACACATGGCGCTGAGCGCCGGAGAGCGCCAGGAAAACCCGAAGCCTGGTAGGTGCTCGTTTGGCCCCCGGTCTTTCCCAACTCGCTCTACGAGCCGAATAGGTCCCACCACGCCACTTCCTATCATAACCCCCATATTCCTTTATATATTTTTCTTTCGGAAACAGCGTTTCCGAGCTAGTATCCACGTTAAACTTGTTCTACAACGGTTAACCCCTTTGATGTTCCAATCGAGCTCTCCCGACTGAGAGATTCCTCTACGCGAAAACTATTCCCCCTTTGAAGACAAAGTAGTCTCAAAACCGCGCGCATATGGGATTTTTGACGCTTAACTTATCGCGATCTTTTTTAAACGTTTCGTCGAAATTTCGCGTTCAATTATCCGCTTTTGTTACTCGCCTCTGCGATTTTTCTTCCACCGTACACGCGTGTGGTGGATTTTTTTAAACTTCTTTCATTTTCTCATCCAACGGTCACACCCGATCGATCGCGATAGGTCTGGTGGATATTAAAACCTGTTTCCGGCCTGTGTCGGTGAAAAAGAATCGGGGAAATATGGTATAGAAGCGCGATTCCCGTGAGCGACTAACGCGTAGACAATACATCAGCGACGGATAATAATAAAGGCATCGCGTGTGCGTAATTATCTAGCGTACTTTCCTGGAATTAATTTCGAGCTTCGCGAGGGAAGAGCTTTTTTACCCTCTGCTCGGCGACCCACTGCCACCCCCTGCCGTGTCGCGCGGTTATTTAGGAAGCACGAGAACTTCGTCGCCGTTGACGAAAGGGAGGTTAAAAGAAACGCGTCGCGTCGCGTCGTGACCCGGAATTCCACGGTTTTTGCGCCGCACTCCTCGCGGCATTTTAAAGCTGAAACTTTTTCCGAGATTAAGCGCTTAAGGAAGTTGCAAGTTTCGTAAAGTGCCCGTACATCCACGTGCCCTGATCTCCTATAGATAATAAATACGCGAGCGGAAGAATGGCGCCGCGCGGAGACGCGATCATGGCAGCCGAAAGATGGAGATTCGACGCGGCGCTCGATCTCTCGAGAAGGATCGATAATTCAGACAACTGCTTTTTTCCATCGGGCTAAATATTTCGCGCGAAAAAGGCATTTCGTCGTCGCGTCTTCAAAGTCGCTGCTAATCGCCTTTTCTTTTCCCTCTTTCCGGTAGATCGCGATGAAGAAGGAAGGCAAAAATGATTTATGCATGGCAGCTCCTCGACACACGATGAGGTTTTAGCCGACTACGTTAGATGGCGCGGTTGCTATCGATCTAGCTTCTCGCTAGCCTCTGCGGATTTATTTTCCTCGTTTTTTTTATAACTCGAGAGCTACTACTTTCCAGATTTTTCCACGCCACTCGCGATATAGAATATTCCCAGAATATCGTCCATTATACCCAATGGACGCGTAAAAGTATCAAAAAATTTGCAAAATTTCCAAAAATGTACCGTAATTTCAATAAACCTTACTCGCTCGTTCTCCAACGCGGTGTAATACCGCGTTTCCATACCGATTTAATTCGCAATGGAGAACAACGACGGTCCTTATTAATCGACCAACCTAATCGATGCATCACGTGAATAACTGGCTCGCCAGTTACGCGATCGTTGTTATCCATGAAACTCGATTACGTAAGGATCTAGGCAGCTCGACGCGACAAAAGTTCGCGGTCGCGTTCCCTGCAACAATTATCACGGATGGACTATGGTCACGTGAAAACGACGCAAACGCGTGCCTCCTGAATTTTAGAATTTCCCTAGAAAAAAAAACCCCTAGTATATCTCCCTCCGCAGTAACGCTTCGAGGACAAAGAGCACCGTGTTACGACACGTTCGTCTTCAACGAGTCGTCAATCGTCTACGTCAATTATCCCATCAGCCTGCGTCGCGTCATGGAATTTTTCTCCGTTGCTCCTCTCCGTTTCCCCGCGAGCGAATAATTCGAAGATTCCGCTATACGTGGTTGAGGACGAAGAAATAAAAGAGGAGCGGTTCTCGTATCGCGATTCGAGGAAGCAGGGTAACGCGGGCGCGTCTGGTCGAGATGGGCGAGACTGAAAAGTTTTAATGCGACCGCGGAATCGACGAGTTTCAATTCGTCTCTGCCGGCTAACGAACCCTGAACCAGAAGGGAAATACACTTTTTCAGAACGCGCGGCCGTAATTGAGCGAAGAGAAGAGGGCAAAACAGGGGTGAACGAGCGTAATTACGAACGGGCGACCGATTCCAGCGGCTTTCCAACGGAGAAACTGGACGACGCCGGGGCGACCACCGTAACCCCCCGCGAGCCTGTTTATCGTCGATGGAAAGAAACGCGGTCGAGACGAGAAAATGCCGGGCAAACCGGCGAAATTCACGGGACGCGTTCGTAAATTTGATTTACGTTTAATAAGATAGTTTGGAGAAAACCTCGGAGGTGCCACAACGCTTGTACGGCTGCGGAGACAAGCATCTCGTAATAGTAACTCGATTGTAATCGCGAGTGGCGAAGCTAAGATAACGAGATCGATCAGCGAGCATCGTGAATGGGCGGAGGGATGAGAAAAGAAGACGCAAACGAGACCCTCCAATCTGTTCACCTGTGCTCGAAGCGAGAGAAGCAAGCAAGGATTCCGGGCGCGTTTCGTATCGTATCGAGAAATTAGGGGTAGCCAGAGGAGGGGGATAATGTAGCGCGAACAAGCCGGTTTTATTGCTTCGAACGGGAAACATCCGGCGCCAGGATCACGGAAGTATTACAATAAACGAGACACGTTTCTCGAGTGGAAATACGCGAAATATTGCACGAGCTAAGGGCACTCGAGAGTATCGAAATAGCACCGCTTATTGTTGACTGAGAGAGAGAGAGAAAGAGAAAGAGAGAGAGAGAGAGAGAGAGAGAGAGAGAGAGAGAAGGAGGAAGAGAGGGAACGCGAAGGAGGAAGAAGGAGAAAAGGAGAGAAAGAAGACGTACGACGACATTGTCTCGGTACAAAAGGGAAGTGTAGAAATAGGGCGGAAAACGAGGAAAACGGATCGGAAAACCGCGAGGTCGTTAAACTTGGGATTAAGTTCGCACAAAGGCTGACACTTAGAGGTCCCTTTGTTCGTCTGGAAATTCGCCGAAATTTCCCTCTAACCCCGATCAATGGAGCACCCCGTCCTACCTCTTTGCTTCTTTGCAATCTTGGATAACCGATGAAAAATTGGCCACGCGAGATCAATGAAATCGCCCGTGCCGAGCACCGATCGAACCCGACGATTCGGAGACGTCGCCGAGTGGCGGTACCGTGCCTTCGACCCCTCTACCACGCAGACAAGCGCTCGCAGATGGCGCTAGTTTGTTGTCGCATACCGGCGCGCGCGGCGAATTAATCTTTCGCTAGGATTCCGATTGTCCGGGAAGGAAAGAATGGCGAATCGCTTGGGCGAACGGGAAGAAGCTCGAACACAGTGGTCGTTAGACGAGAGTGTGTCAAGATCGACGTAATACGGAAGGGAGAAAAGGGGAGAAGCCGACAAAGCTCGGAAGAAGAAAAGTTGCGGCCGTGGAGTGGCCAAGAACAAAAGGTCTGCATCGGTTGGTTTTACCTCTTGCGAATGCGAAAACGTAACGAGCCACTTGGCCACGTTGCATATTCCAGCTGCTGGATAACCGTCGTTACGTAAAATCTGGCCACGGTTCCGCTAATTAAAAGCCGCTCGATTGTCGCTTTCGACAAACAACTCGAAGCCTCTTTCGCTCCCAACTTCCGATCCTACTGATTCCAGGATAGCGTTTCTCGCGTCCCGGGTGAAACGACGCGTGGAGGAGAAGCGCGAGAGGAATCGCGTGAAATCGGTTAACGCGAAGATGTCAAGTTTTCCCGAAGAAACGAAAGAAGGAGGATCGGCTGTGGAACGCGGCTTCTTTATTTTTCACGGGGCAGGAGAGACGGCACGCGACGCGAGGAGGAGGAAAACGACAGGAAACGCTGAATAATTTCCTCATTATCCCCCGTGGTCGGTGAATTCCAGATTTATTAGCCGTGCTTGTGCAATAAACCATTCGAATTGAGGCGGACCGGCGCGGAATCGGTCACGGTACTAACGATTTAATGCCGGTAATCTCAATTCTAATCCACTTTGGAGACCTACTTTTCCCTAATGGAATAGCCTTCTCAAACCTTCTGCCTATTGCGTAACTCGAACCTTCGAATTATCTTTGAAACGCATCCGAACGATGAAACGCGAGAGCAAACGAATACCGATCGGAGACGCGTGTCCGAAAATAACGGAAACGGAAACGGTTGTTCAAAGCGTTCGAACACTGCCGAGCAAATAGCTGGATGACTACGACCATTAATAAGGAGATCGCGTAAAGGCAAATCGGAGACGCGTGTCCGAAAATAACGGAAACGGAAACGGTTGTTCAAAGCGTTTCGAACACTGCCGAGCAAATAGCTGGATGACTACGACCATTAATAAGGAGATCGCGTAAAGGCCTCGAGAACGGCTAAATTCGTCGGACGAGCAGACGCTGGAGGCCTTGGCACGAAGTCGAACGTGACGATCGTAAAACCGATGTCGTCCCGCGCGGTAATGGCGTATGAACATTTCTCACTCACCTCGCGAAGCTCCTTGATCTTTAGCCCTCCCTTGCCGATTATGCATCCGGCCTGGCTCTGGTGCACCAGCATGCGCACGTCGATCTCGTCGATGCCGTATCGGGACCCATTCTGAAATCGGTTCCAAGATTTAGCACCTCGTCTGCCATCGGTTTGGACGTGATTTGCACTTTCGAAGCGCTACCGTTGCTCTAAGTGTCTCTATGTTCACGTCGCAGTACGTTATTTCTTATTTTTCTCATCTTTTTTCTTTTTCTGTTCCTTCTTTATTCTTTCGTTATAGACCTATCTAGCTAGCAATACGTTTCGAGTCGTTCTGAGAGAACATTGCGCATACATGGTTCCGTAACGTGGAGATTTATGGTAATAGCCGTTCTTTAAACAGACGGTAAATATTCGTGGCACAATGCGTTCTTTGGAACTAGACTCTGAACCTTCGACGTCGCCAATTCCTCAGCGAAGATACCGATCGTGTCGTCGATAAAGGTACAGGGTGTTCCATGCAAGCGGAGAAATTAAAAGAGACGTTTCACGAGGTTAATTCGAGCGAGTTTAGATTCTCTACGTCTTTCGTGATGCACTCATGCAGCTATGAAATGCACTCCCCTCCGTACAGGACACCCTGTAAGCTGGAGCAGTATCGTAGTTAGCACCCTGTGGACCAACTGGACCAACCAAAGGACAGTCTGACGGGACAGAGTCGAGGCAGATACTCTCCCAGATGGCTGGAGAATCGACCGATCAAGGTGCTAACAGTTACCGAACCAACCCTCGTATGCTCTAACTATACTGGCTTAACAGTTCTACTAAAATAAGAAAAAACATGTGAAAAGTCTCACGATTGAGTCATTTCTTTTCCCGTGTGATCCTCTTCTGGTAGCAACACTCACCTCCTCGAGATTAGGTACGACCTCGTTCAACACTTGAAGAACGGTAGGCAGATCCGAGCTGATGGTAAGCACCCTAGAATCAAAAACACTCCAACAATTACTCCGGTCCTCGGTCCACCATTACGATATTACGTGCTATACACGTTGCCCTTCCTCATCGAATCGTGTCCACGAACTTTCACCCCTTCCGTGGAAAATTAGCCGTGGAAATGCGCGAGCTGTGCTCGAGGCAACTCGAACGCCAACCAAATCCCCCGAACCAATCGATTCTATATTTTTCCTCCCGTCCTTTTTTCCCTGCTGCCTAACTTTTTCGCGTCTCGATGGTCTCTTTACCTCTCTATACCGAGCGATTTGCTTCCTCCGGTACTGTCCACGATTTTATTCCGAAATTTCGACGAACGGACGATAGACACCCTTCGAGTTCGTCCTGGAACGAAATTCGCCTGGCACAACAACTCGCACCGAGTGATTCGCGAGCGATCAGCTGCCTCTCGTGTCTCTGGGATAGCTGAGCGGAAACGTGGGCTCGGCCATCACGGAAAATATCTAGCTGCTACTAGGGAACTTTCCGGGGAGCGTTTCAGGACAAACACGGAACATGGGAAACGGCGTGGAGCACAAATCAAGCAGGTCCTCCTCCGTCTGTTCTCGCCTTCTTTTTAATCGTCCGCTATGGAGTCCGCGCGGAACTGCCGGGAATATCTCGTCTCGTCTTCTGTCTCGATCGATATGGCGTCCGAGACGCGTTGTTTTCGTGCCGACACGCCGGAAGTCGAGGACCGGAGACTAACGATCGCTCGCGGAATCGGAGGAATCTGGGAAACTCTCGGGGATCGGGGGAAATTTCGGTGGTCCTCGAAGCACCGTCGATATCGATAAAATCCCCGGGATTTTTCATCCCGGCACAATTCCCGGCTATTCCATCGCGCTCGAGAGCAGAATAGGATCGCGTTTCTCGATCATAGGCCGGATTTTCCAGCAGCTTTTCACACTCTGTGTGCCACTCGATCGATCGTCGAGGCTCGAATAACACCGCGAGGAAGCGAGAGGCAGCCGAAAGTCGAGATTCCGTTTCGGCAAGTCGTTTCGCGCGACTTATTTTCTTCGCCTAGCGAAGGAGAAATGTGGCTCGTTCGACACGATTCGATTAACTCGCGACACGGTAATGTACTCCAATTTCGAGGTAGTGCTCGAGTGAAACCGGAAGCCGCGCACGTATCGACGCGCATCAATCCTCCGCGTGTTTGTTTCCTTGGAAAGATCGAAACGGACGATGGATGGCCAGTGGATTCTCGGCCGAGTGGAAGCTTCGATTAACGTTCGACGAGAAGTTACCGCGATTAGAGATTTCGATCTTCGTTTGGAAGAAGCTGGAGGAAAGTTGCTTCTTACACCGATACCGAATTAAACACGCTGCGCGTGAATGATCGTCCGCGTTGAACGATCGAGCGGAGTCTCGCCGAGTCAACCGTCTCGCTGGCCATCCCGACGTTCCATGAGAAGTAAAAAAAAAAAAATAAAAAATAAAAAAATAAAGAAAGAAAAGGAAGAAATTCTTTGAACACGTACGTCAAGTGAAACATCCACAGATATCGGATCGATATTTCTTTTTTCTCTACCTCTATTCTAACTTCTTTTGCAATGCTTTCGCACTCTCCTCGATCCCCCTCCGACAGAGTCGAAGCTTTCGGGATCGATACCACGCGTTTACGTGTCGCAAAGCCGCGAGCTTCCTCTTACGAACGACGTTCCTTCGATCGTCGCGCGGTTATTTGTTAATGTTAACCATCGACTGGTAGGGTGTGGAGTTAGAACGAGCAACTATATATTCCTCCGGAGCGAAGCTGAAATTTCATTTTACTTTTTGGCTGAAATGTGAATGCACGTTAATCTTCGTCACAGACAAGAGTGAGTTTTATTCGATCGCTGTTTGTTTAGTGACAATTGCTCGCTGTACTTCGAAATTATAGCGACGTTCGATTGGACAAGAAATTAATCCAGTGTTAGTACTAGTAGTCACACGTTCGATGAGAAAGAAAGTGAGACAATACGATGCAGAATGAATCATGCGAGCAGGGCAAGTCGTACTTGAACGTGATCTATTTGTTTCTAATCGCAGACAGAGACTGTAACGACCTCACACCAAACACGTGAAAAGATCAGGAAGACCTAAGAACATACATCTACTATAATCTACGTATACGAGTCGCTCGTCGATCAAAACGATCAATTCCAAACTTTTAAATCCCTTTTTCTATTTCCTTTTTTATTTTTTCCCCCAATTTCAGCGTTAAAGCACTCGACCGGTGTTGAACGCTTTCGCGAGTGCAGCCCCGTATATCTGACATCGCAGAAACGTGACTTTGTGTGGCCATTTTCATTCGCCATGTATAGAAAAAAATTACTTTCGGGTCATGGATCTGACATTACTTTCGTTGCTCGCGTGTTCCAATTAAAAATATAAAATTTCGCGATAAAAGCGAAATAATAGCGATTCCGACGTTCCTTCATCCAATTATACGATCTGCAACCGTTAAAGCGTCGCCTTGTTAACCCGTGATATTCGAAATAAATATTTGTTCTCCATTTCGTGGATTTAATCGATTCGACGAACGAGTGACCCATATATATATATATACAGAACAAGTGTATCGAAAGCGAGTCAAAAAATCGGCCGATTTCGTGAGGGGGAAAAAAGAAAAAAGAACGGACACAAGTGGGATTAGCGATTTTTATGATCTAACCATCGAACATTTTCCTTCATGACCGACCTCGTCGGTGGTTTGCATCGACAACCGAGGCACAGGTATACGCACGACTTGTCTCCGTCGCGTGACTCGACTTGTATCGCACAGCTGGTATTTTTTTCTCTTTCCGTCGAATTGATCCCACCCTACCAATTATGGGAACAGAGCTACGTTCACCCTACTAGTCGAGGGTTAATCATGCGCTTTTCTCCTATATAACGGGCGCCGTCTCGCGATCACCAGACACGAGATCGTTCGATGGTATAACACGGTCGCGAGGGAACGGTTTCGTTAGCCAGGCGACGTCGTCTGAAACCGTGAAAACGGCCATCACCAGCTACTTCTACTCTCCCTAGACGCGGCTTCTAGCCCGATTCTTTCCACGGTCGCACGCAATCGTGATGGCGAACCGGAGAACCGTGTTGTTCGTTCGTTTCGACGGGCAGATCGGTCGAAAGTCATCGCCACGATGAAAACGATAACTGATCCGATGCAACTTTTCTACTAAAACTAACAAGCTTCTCTAAGAAACAAAAAAAAAAAAAAAAAAAAAAAAAAAAAAAAAAAAAAAAAAAAAAAAAAAAAAAAAAAAAAAAAAA